CGTGCTTACATCATTAAGCGGACGGCACCATGGGAGGAAGCAATTGAGGAAGGATTCGAGCGTAAGAAGCTGCACTATGCCAACTTGGCAGCTGAGGCAGAGGACAGAGGCTGGAAGATCAAGGTGCACCCGGTGGAAGTGGGGTGCAGGGGCTTTGTTGCCAGAACAACAGCGAAATTGCTTAGATTGGGACTGCTGTCAAATGTTAGTGCTTGCCAGCTCTGCTTAAACACACCCACTGCAGGTGGTCATGGGACTTGATTTTTTTAGGCACTGGTGCACTGAATGTGTGCACAGTAACACGAGTTTTATACTATAGGGCATGCAACAGCAGATAGCTCTTGGCAGATGGGTGCACATATTTAAAATACTATGGCTCAGGCGATGGTGCTGCAGTCATGTGCAGGACATCAAGATGTCCAGTTGCTCGCTGTGAATTCTCCAGACAATTACCTACTCTACTGTTAGTGGCTCGTTCAGACATTACACATTGTTTACAAAGGAGCTGCTACTTTAAAAACCACCAAATATCTGAGTGAGGCGTTTGTAGGCATGAGTCAGACATTTGCATTGTGATGCAGTGCAGCCAGATAAGATCTAATAAAATTCAGGGGTGTAGTCTGCTACACTGTAGAAAAACAGCTCCACTACGTTGCCAAAAGCATTCATTCATCTGTCTTCACACCTATATGAATTCAAGTGACATCTTATTCTTAATACATATGGTTTAATATGCTGTTGGTCCACCTTTTGCAGGTATAACATCTTCAGCTCTTCCTAAAGGTGTTTTTTTTTTTTTTCAGGTTGAGGTGCAGGCCAGTCTAGTTCTTCCACACCACACTCACTCATCCATGTCTTTATGGACCTTGCTTTGTGCACTGGTGTGCAGTGATGTTGGAACAGGAAGTGGCCATCACCAACATTTCTTGCTATGTTAAAGCATTAAGCACACTGGCAGAGTTTGCTTGCTCGTTGTTATAATACCACGAACGATTGACTGTGGAATATTTAGTAGTGAGGAAATTTCATGTCTGGACTTGTTGCACAGGTGGCATCCTATCACAGTTCCTATGTCCAAGGAAGTGATTGGAAAACCTCCATTTAATTATTTAATGGGGTAGTGAATACTTTTAGCAACACAGTGTATTATAACTGTCTGACATTAAAATGATATTAACCTTCTAAAAAAACACAGTAAATAAATCTGGAAACACCGTCTATAACATTAAACATCTACAACATGTACAAATGATATGAAAGGCTTCTATATTCCCCTTACCCACACTTGGGCAAAAGACACAAAAACACGGCCACCGCCGCAATTTCTCACCGTGGGCCTCATCCAGCGCATGCCGCTGGTCTTTGTCGATCTGGGGCCGAGTTCGTTGAATCCCAAAGATGACGCTACAGCAGGAAACAGGCTGTCCTCAAACAATCTCCCGCTTTGAAGGCACTGGGCTTTCAGAGAATCATAGTCCTGACCCAAGAACTTCACCGCATTGTGGTTCTGCCCCAGGCCCTCATCACGATCCCACTGGCTCCTCAGTTTGTAGGCCATGCCTGTAGCATAAATGGGCTGCTCTGCCATATTGAGCTTGTGGAGTTAACGGAGAACAGTAGGACTGACAGCTGCTATCAATTTGATTCTCTTTGGAACCACAATAAAAGTAAAGATGTGTCAATTATTAAAGACGCAACAGCAGCCTATTGAGCTTTTATAATCTAAAGCACTGTGCTGATGTAAACCTGATACACAGTGGTAATGGCTTCAAGGCCCAATCTTCAGTTAGAATAAATCATCAGTAGCTATGAAGATGCTATTAAACACTGATGAGGCTAGTCTGCTGCTTGGTTGTGGTGTATGTGGTTGCACTCTAGCTGGATGCTTTGATTGCAGTCACAAACGGAGAAGCTCAAAAATCCAAAGCTTGTCACAGTAGAGACGTCTTCCTCAGTACAAAAGATCCAGATAACACCAGTCCCCGTCTGTTGTTCTTTTTTTGTCAAGTTCACGCAGTGCAGGATCACAGCCCGTCCTTATCACAGCAGAGGACAACCCTGCACAAAAACAAAGAAAGTGAGAAATTGAGCACAAAAGGGAAAAGGTTATCCAGTGAGATACAAGATACAAGTTTGTACATACCAATACTATCTACGCATACATCACAGAACAAAAGCAGAGGCTGTGCACACCCTCCATGTGCACAGACACTAAGAGCTTAAAAGACAAACGAGGCGTCCTTGTTTCTTCGCAGTCATCCATATATGTGCATTCTTAGAAAAGCCCGACAAAGTTGGCACATCTGTGCTACTTTTACTGTGGTGCACTGAATGTGTGCACATTCAGTGCACCACAGTAAAATTTAAAGTCAATGTTTAATCAGAAAAGCACATTAATAACAAAGCAGGTGTGTGTGTGTGTGTATTTTGATGCACAATAAAGGTTGCATGAGGCAAAGAACAAGCACAAGCTCTCTGCGAGACGCTTTAATTAAGCAGAGGCTGAGATGAAGAAGCATTTCTATCATTAGTGCCGGCGCAGACAGAACTGGAGCTTTGGACAGAGTTAGTCTCGCTTTGTTGCTTTGAGTCTGCGTCTTTTCCGTCAAACACAGAGTGGAAGGCGTTTATTTTTATCTTCTTTCAACTCTCACAGCTTTTTTTTTTCTTCACTCCCTCACCTCAGATATGCACATAAAGATACGCACTTCCTGTTTTCAGTCCACAGGTGTCAGCACAGCAGAAACAGAAAAAAGAGTGTGGCTTTCACTGGCTTGTGTAGCAGTGGAGCCATGTAAGAGTTTCCTCCTCCTGCTAACAGAGAACCGCACCCACAAAGATGGCCCATTTGACTGAGTGAAGAATGTTGCTGCTAAGAGAGCCAAAAACTCAGCATGCAGCTGCGACAGCAGGTTTCCCAGCTTGTTCAATTACACAACACTAAGACTTGTGTTTGCACATGTGCCTCTATTGCTGCTAGCATGATGAAACTACATTAGGGTCATTTGCATGAGTACTACACATTATTTCTGCTAATAGATCCCTAAAGCTACAGCTAGCAAAGCTGAAAGTGCTGCATAATGGCTGCACCACAACTATTATATTTCTTACCACAAGCATTATTACTCACACTAACAAAGGCACTTTTGCCACCACTGTAACAACTACTTCTGCTTCTTCCTGCATTCTTTATAAAGAGCTATTTAGCATCTGTACCACATATCAGTGTTAGCATCACTACAGTGTTTTTCTTTTTTACATAAATGTATGTACTATTTAAATGTGGACACAAAAATACCTTCAGTGAAAAGGCTTTTAGAGTTACACTTGTTAAACTGCTTGTTAATGCATATATCTAATTAGCCAATCACATGTATTCAGGTATTTAAACATGGTCAACACGACCTGCTGAAGATCAAACTGAGCATCAAAATGAGGAAGAAATGTGATTTAAGTGATCTTGAATGTGGCACAGTTGTTGTCAAACAGGCTGGTCTGAGTAGTTCAGAAACTGCTAATCTGCTGTGGGGAAATCTCAGCAATCTCTACAGTTTACAGAGCATGAGCCAAAACGGAGTAAATTTCGGCGAGGGACAGTTCTCTGGGGAAAGTCTTCTTGATGTCAGAAGTCAAAATGGAAATGTCAGACTGCTTTGAGGTGATGGGAAGCCAACAGTAACTCAAATAACAGCTTTTTAGAACCAAAGTAAACAGAAGAGTGTCTCTAAACACACAACACACACACAACAAGCAGATGGGCTACGTCAGTGGGACACTCCCGTGAGCTAAGTAGAAGAAATCGAGGCTACAGTTCACACATGTTCTGCAGAATTGAACAATATAAGTTTTTTTGGTCTAATGAGACTCAATTTTAGCAAAAACATTAGGATGGTGCGGTCAGAATACGGCATAAATATGAATGCATGGATCCATCCTGCTGACCACTTCCATCCCCTTATGACCATTAATAAAAATGTGCTTCACTGTTCTTCCCCTCACTGCAAAGTCCATCATGAAATCCTAACAAAAGTCTGGTTAAAAATGCAGGTTTTCAGATTTATGTCAGGCCCATGTGTTTGTTTCTTACCTCTCCTCCAAACTGCACCTTCTAGTTTGATCCCAGGAACTGCCAAACCAGTCCAGACAGACTCTTCTGTACTACTTTTATAGTCAACCTCCAGCGAGGGATGTGCCAAATGTGGCAGGAAGGAGGAGTTACGCCTGATTTCTACATCTTTATTTTCCAACTGTTAACATAGTCCCATTGTCACCTGAATGACATGTTTGAGCACTCCTATAAGTTCACTTAATACCTAATTAACTTTTCCTAGAACGGGAGGAGTTACTGGCTATAGACAGAAGTGTGTCAGGTGACAGCACTGTGAGGAAAAACACCACTGCCCCTCACAAAACACACCCACTACCATGAAATGCTTGCAGACCACAAACAATTACTCATATGCTTTCAATATGCATGTCACTCTAAGTTGGTTCCATGACAAAACACCCATGACCCCATTACTTAAACCAACAACAAAGGATCATAACGTGTTCTGTTAAAACCTTAGTCGTGTGGTTTTTACCTCTGCTGGCTGCCATCGGGGCACATTTTACCCAACAACAGTTCAGTCTGACTCCAATGAATATTTTACTTCTCCTCACACGAGAAATACATGCAGCCTACATACCCTCACTCCATATCCCAACACAAATGCTTAGCCTTCCCCTCAGTCCGGGTGGCAGCACACAAGAATGTGCATGCATGTATGTACTGCACTGTATCATCTAGCAAAGCAACACTTAGTATAATCACAAGAAAACTGAGAATGTGCACTTTTATCCAACCCATAACCCGGCTCTTTTACTTATTTGTTTTGGCACATCAGCAGGATGTTTCCTTTAACATAGGGGTCGTGCAGCCATGGGTAGAAACACACACGACTGAAGCAGCAGGCACGCAAAGGCCGTGAAAACACTGCAATCATCAGCAATGTATGACTAATGCTTTTCTGCTGATGATTGTCTGAGTCCAGTTTCCTCCTCACAACTCCAGCGGATTAAATGCATGCTGATAGTAAGTAAGTGTTGCCTTTGGGAGGGTGGAGTCAAGAGTTTGTGGCATGAGTAAGCCTTCTGACCGCCTGTGGTGTATTTCTGCATGCAGGGGTTCATGTTGCAACACAGTTTAATGTGAGAAAAAATATCCAAAGTGTTTGGAGAAAATAGACCAACAGAGAGATCACACACACGCACGCACTGTGACCGCTGCAGGAAACATGGTGACTACTGTGTTTTTTCTCATCAGAGTCTGCAGAAGAACACAGCTTTTAGAAACACTGGGCTACATTTGGAGAATACTCGTTGGAGCATGCGCCTCAGCTCACGCAGATTTAGCTCTTTATAAAACTTTAACTTGGACGCATGGCTCACACAGATAAGTAAGTCGCTTTTGTGATAGATAGGTGTGGTCCCTGGGAAAACATTGAAATTAAAGAAATAAACACAACCAGCAAAGCGAACAACGGTTTGACGAGTTTCCTTTGGCTTCACTTCCATCAGACACAGTTAAAACCAATAATAATAATAATAATAATAATAATAATAATAATAATAATAATAATAAAGCGTAAGACAGCAAAAGCAAATTTTGCGGAATCAGCACATTAATGATTAATAATTCATGGTTATTATTCTCGTGAAATCTGGGGCAGACTGCTGTTTGACTGTGGTTTGTTCCGGCATCACAAACTAACCTAAAAAACAACTCACAAACTTCCAGTTCTGCTCTTAAAAAAGAAGAAGTTCAGACCAGGAGGACAAACGCGATTGGCAAAGTGCAGCCCGACACTAAAATGCTGAAGCAAAGTGATGTTGAAGGATGAAACTCATATTTACCTTGCGATGCGTTTCCTCTGGAAAAAAAAATAGCTACACGGAAATTCAACATGCTCTCCGTTCCATGTTTAGTATGTACCCTTGTTGTACCCTCCCCTCTTTTCTATACAGAAGAAACGCCCTGCTGCTGCTGTGTACCCTCATTTCAATGCGACTGCGCAGTGCCCACAGGTCATAAAACTACACTGAAAGGGAGGGATTCGTGCACTGTTCTGTCGTGTTGTGCTCTTTGTTTGCAGCAGATTTTACTTGATACTGTAGTTCATTATGGTACTGTGTGTTCACATGCAATAAGCTGCCCTTTGAAAGACAAAAATCCCTTTACACCGCTCTGTAAATACTTACCCTAACTAAAAAACGCCACATTTACCAAGTGCTAGACTCTATTTGAAGTTTAGTTACGCACAGTATTTCTATTTTATAACTATTTTTAAATTTCAGTAGACTTGTATGTTATGAATGTAAAAATAGAGAAGTTTTTTAATCTTCTAACGGCATCATTTACAGGATTTCAAGTCTAAGCAGCCAACAATGACATCTAGTGACTTCGGGTAGCAGCGCATCTAGAATAGAATATAATAGAATAG